GAACTAGTCACATCCCAGAGCGTTTATTTACTTGTTCCGTTTACTGCTTCCAGGAGCAGGGGCAATGAAAACCAAGACAAATCTTAACACCCCATGAGAGCTAAATCAACACCACCAGCTTGTTTCCCCTTATGTGCAGTGCCCTCCTTAGAACGGTAACAAAATCATGCCAAACAGCCCCAGACATCACCACGTGGTCTTCTAGGCACCTCAGTTGAGGAGAGGAAGGTCTAACATGGTTTGATGGCTGGAAGTTGAAGCTAGACAAATTCAGACTGGAAATAAGGTGTAAATTTTTACCGGTGAGAGTAATTACGTATTGGAACAATTTACCAAGGGGGGTGGTGGATTCCCCATCGCTGACAATTTTGCTCTAGGAATTATTATGGGGCAATTCTCTGGCCTGCGCTATACAGGAGGTCTGACGAGATGAGGCCAGTGGTCCTTTCTGGCCTTGGACTAGTCATCCCCCTGCCCTTGCCTGGTCCTAATATACCAGTGTGTTCACCACATTCAAGTTTATTAAAACAGTTGCTAGCTTTGCTTTCATAGCTACACATGTCAACATATCCAGGATGACACACAAAGGTTTATAACTAGGAGTAATGGGATTGAAATAAACAAGGAAAATATAGGCTGAACATCAGGAAAAAATGTGCTAACTCCTCAGATCCAGTCCCACTGTGCAACAGCCTCCTGAGGGAAGTGATGGAAAGCCCCAGTCAGCTGAATCATTTAAAACTAAACTGGACAGATGCCTAGAAAACGTGCCACAAGGAACAAACAGTCCTGCGGTGCTTGGGATCAGGGTGGTGGGGAATGGGCTACGTGACCCAATCCGAGATTTCCCATCTCTAATTTCAATTATAGCATTTGGTCGATGAAGACTAATGGACCACCAGGGACACACGGTAAGCGGAGGAGACTTCACTTTATGTTATTCTGTCCTAATGTTGTTTCACATTCTTCCAGGTATCACAGCGAGAGGGAAGTGAAGGGAATGTTCCATTCAGGCCACCTTACATATTGACCCCCCGTCACACACTGGGTATTGGACTCCTTAGGTGTTTTATGTTCAAGCAGCACAATTTGGGAACAAGCCTAGAAATAAATTCCATGCCAGTCATCAAAAACAGGCGGAATTTGTGTTGCTCCAGATGTTGTCTGGTTTTGCCATGGCAACATCATAACAGGATATAACTTTCAATCATAACAAGAAAAAAATATTAACTTACCGGCAGTAGTAGCAAGGACTTTCATCAGGTTTCTAGTCCTGTCTCGCAATAACTGCTTAGAAATTATTTTTCTATTATTTAGGCAAAAGCCTAAAGAGGCAAACCTTCAAGCAGCTTCTGAATCAAGGCATTCAGCACATCTTTGGAGACCAGAGACGAGCAAGGGAAGTTTTTTTCCAGGATTAATGTAATGAGAACGTTTGGGTTAATCAGTAAATAACCAACAACTCAGAGCTCCTTCACGTACAGACACCTGCTTCCACATGGTTTTGCTGAGAGATGGAGGTCAGGGCTGGGGCCCCAGAAGCACATATACAGGGAAAGCTGTTGTTTTTCAGAACTGCAGGGCTGATTTTCAGAAGACCCAACACGCCCAACTCAAAGTGAATTCAGTGGTTGTCAGGCCCTTGTGTGTAAAAACTGAACACAAGTGCATGTTCCCTGGAGCATTAGTTTTCCTATGAGCGTCAGCATGTGAGTAGGTTTGGGCAAATCATAAAAGGCTTGACAGAAAGCCAAGAACTCCCCACCGAGCACATACTGTACAGTGTCTTCTTCCCTAAAACTGGACATCTACCGTGTCATTGGAGGATCTTGTTTACAGTAAGGGGACAGTTTACAGACAGATGTGGGTCTCATTAGATATACTCACACATGCACTGCTCTGCAAGGGCCGGAAGCTGACTTGACAGCTGCCCCACAAAGCGCTATGGTACAAGCCAGGCTCACGGGGTAGACAGAGGACGGGGGATTAGGATGGAGGATTGTACTTCCACAGGATGTAATATTTTATTCTGATCTAAAGAGAAATGCAAGAATATCAGGAAGGTCAGGAACTGTGGCAGGGCTGTAAAAACCTGATTTACAGATAACTTCGTTCTCAGGACTTCAGTTCAGAGAATTCTGCTTCCTTTATTATCAATCACATGTATTATGGTAGTGGCTAAGGGCTAACCCAGAGCCAGCCATGGTGCCAGGCGCTGCACAAACACAGAGTAGCTGACATCCCGTCCTGGGAGCCGGCAATCTAAACAGACTCAGCAGACCCTGGGCGGAGGCCGGCGTAGAACACACCAGCCGAGTGAATTATGGAACGGTGGCAAATGTCATGTTCGTGCCACCATTTTTCTTGGGTAGGAGAGGGTTTGGTTAGGAGGGGATCAGCGAGAGGCAAGGGAGAGGGACACAGAAGGGCAGGGGAGAAGAGGGGCAGGATGGAGTACACAGCCAGTCAGCACAGGGCAGTTTCGGGAGTGCAGAGCAGTGCAGCAGGCAGACTGTTGTACTGAGCTCTCTCTCTTCCTTGGGATCAGCTTTCTGCTGCTCTCCCCTTCCCAGCACTCAGGCAAGGTTTTACACCCCTGTAGCATACCCTCCTTCCACCCCCTGGCAGGGCTCTGCCTTTCCCTCCTAGTCCCTCCAACAGGCCTACCCCTTCTTTCAGGAGGCTTTGTCACGTTGTGGTCTCAAAAACAACAGGGTCTGCTGCCCCTCCCGGGCTACCCTTCAGCCTTGCTCACTGGTGGAGGGACTTTCTCCCTGGAGGCCCAGCTCTGATCCGAGCCGCTGAGCCTGAGGGCTTCCTCCCTGGACTCCTTCCCCCAGTCTGCCACCAAGCCATCTGCCTGGGGAGTGGGGGGAGGTGGACTTTCCCCAGGCCTGCGCTAGCAGCCTCCTCCTCCCCTGCCACTCTCTCTATTCATGGCCAGGCCCAGGAGACAACCACCCTCCTGCAGCTCCCCTCCCCAGCCCTTTCTGGGAACCGAGCCACCTGATCCCTGGGCCATAAGGATCAGTTCAGGGGGCAGGGTGGTAGCTGCTCATCCCAGGCCTGGCTAAGCCCTACTCTCCTTAAAGGGCCAGCCAGCCCGTGACACTTGCCTTCTCAGATTTTCATTACGAGGGATTCCCTGCTTGGCATTAAACACTCCTTTTTCATCTAGCTATTCCATGGCTCTCTCTTTCTGTGGGCTGAATGTTTATGAGAAAACAGTTCGCCTCTGAAGGCCCTGTTTTCATGGCTGCAGAGATTTCCACTCAGGTCTTCCTGGCAGGGCTCTAGCTCTAATTCTGTTTGTACTGCGATTTCGTTTAGTCCGTCAAATCAGCAGCAAACGCTGACACAGCTAGGTCGCCCGCTCTGCTCTGCTGCAGTGTGGACCAACGAAGCAGTCTCACCACCACACCCCTGCACTGTACAGATTGCGATAGTAGTTCTTGTGATGCAGAGATGGCCGCTAGAAACTGACCTGAGACAACCAATTCCTTTCACATAAACTGCTGAGCAGCTGTCTTGTGGCAATGACTTTCAGCCCCCATTGACCTGGGCCAGGATCAAATCCATGACCTAGACAGGACAGAGTTCATGTTTTGTTACTAGTCCTGAGCCATTCAACCACTCACAAAGACAGAAAGTTTATCTAATTGAATTCAAACATCTAAAATAAATACAAGGCTTGGATCATTAGAGAATTGAAAATCAAGATGTTTTCCTGGGTGGTACATTTTTCCCCATTGCTAAATATGAAAGCGGTCAATTTCTGCTCTGTTTAAGTCTACAGCAATCACACTGCCTCACCTTTTCCTTGTGTTTCCCCAATAATCTGGAGTGAGCACAATTCAGACAAATACCAGGCAGCAACCATGGGGGCCTGTGCAAAGAGTTTCAAAAGCAATAGGAAAAGGAACCGCTCATAAAAGGAACACAAGTTTCACAAGGGTGGACGTGGATGTCAACAGTTCAGAATAAAAAATTCATCAAAGATCCTCAGTCTGGCCTAGCCAGTCATTTCCCATCAGCTCTAAGACATTTGACCTTAAACTGGCACATTCAGACAAGAATGGGAATTTACCTCAGTGGCTGCTCTCCAAGCATGCCAGATGGCTTTCTCCAACACTGGATATTTTCCTCTCCTTTCATAACACTGACTAACGATGAGGCACCAAGAGACTGAATTAATGTCCTCATTACCTGCATATGCATAGGATGGCTATGGGTAACCAACAACCGGCTGGTTACATATGTGGCAGCAGAGCTAATGCAGGTCCAAGAAAAGATGTGTTCAGTGCATACCTTGATCTTATGTCACTACCTAACTAGGAACAATTGACGGGTAGGAAAACGTTATACAAAGGGCAGCTGAAGATAAGGATCCACATATGGTATAATTCTCAAAAGGTAGCCCAGTTTTATGGGCCATTAGTCTTGAAGCATCCTGAAATGTGTCCTGTCCCTGTTTAAATACAGCCTGTATCAGACCCCAATGGATCTCGGAGTTATGTGGGGTACACATTGCCTTGGAGCCCACCTTTGCACAACCCTTCAGCAATGTCTTCGGTAAGTTCAGTGGCCCACTTTGGAGCCATCTTCATTTGCTGGCTGAGAGCAGAATTTAGCTCATAATGACACCAGTGCTGGGGCTCATTCACTTAGTGGAGAGTTACCTTTAGTCACCTCTTGTCAAAACATCCATGGGAAGGGCTCAGCTTTTGAGGCACTGTTTTCTTCACTGCCCAGTTATCACCAAAATGGACTTTCTTCCTCCTCCGTTTAAACTGAAACTATACTAGGCTGTAGGGGCCTGGGACTGGTGTCAAATAATCCAAGGCCAAATTCCCTTTTCATTTACATCCGTGTAAATCTGAAGTAATGCCACCAAAGTCAATGGAGCCACTCTAGATTGATGCTGGCGTTAGTGAGAACAGAATGTGGTACTAGGGTTGTAATCAGCATGAAACCTACAAGGACTGACCATTCTGACAGGCAGGTGGTGAAAGAGAGAAGGGGGAAGAAGAGGGGGACAATTCTTAAGCAAAATCAACAGTCTCACCCCTAGAAGTGTAATAAAAATCCATAGCACTCTCTCTCTCTTACTCACTCACATACAACTTGTCAACTCTCTCTCTCTCTCCTCCAGGCTCCCAAGAACTGGCCACAGGGCTTGGCTCTGCTACCTTTCCCTACAGGCACTGCTCCCCCAGGTGATGAATTCCTCTCCACAGATGACTTTTTATAAGGTCACTAGCATAGTTCAAAAGCGTGCCATTTGGCTAAACGAAGAAGCCAAATCCATGTGGCTGTACGAAGAGCTGTGGTTCCAGGATGATACTTTATAAACCCATAAAGTGAGAACGGGTTTGAAATATTTCCTGCATCCCCTCCTGTCCCTAATCTCTCTGCAGAGAATAGCCGTGTGTGTTAATATTTGAACCAAACCATCACTCACATGACACCAAGCTCCAGAGAGGCTTAAAGGTGTTGGATGCCTGATTCATTTCACTTTTCACACTTAGTATTTTGAGAAGTTGGCAAATTAATGTTGGCATGAGTTTAAACTACGTGTGGACGTGTCAATTATTTCCCAGCATCCTCACAGCATCTTAGCACTAACTGGGGCTTGCGTGGGCAGCCTCTGCTGAAGGACCCAATGGGTTACGGAGATGAGCTCCTCTTTGAAGCTCTCCCGGAGGTCAGTGAAACCAACTGGCAGTGCAGTGTGGGGTTCAGGCCTGGGTTGGCACTGCCCATGCTCCTCCTGACCAATGGCTAAATGACAGATGCCAATCTCCTGTCAAATCGGAGCTGAAGCCATTTTTAAAATGTAATTTTAAAACAATACTCCTTGGGGTTAACGACTTTCTCCCAGACAATTAGCAAGTATGCCAAAGCTGAAGAACATCCTCAGCCTGTGCTTTGTTACTCTGCCAAGGTAAACACTGACATTTTCTTCCCCGAAGCAGCTTAGAGAGCAAGAACAATTCCAGGCAGTAACAAGACTCCTTAAAGGCACAAGAGACAGAGGCTCACTGTTTGCCTTTAAAGGCAAAATTTGGTGAATACACTGGAAGGGCTGATCCTACGTCCTATGAAACTTTGGTCTGGAGCAGAGTTGACTCATCACGAAAAAGTCTTTATTTTCCCAGTTACATCTTGTAACTTACAATTAATCTCCTTTAATGCTAGTTATTTGTTCTTTGAAGGAGACATTAAAACCCAGGTTTTGACTCACTACGTCTGCTGGGAGTTAAAGAGCCCATGGCACTGTCAGATAATGCCATGTATCCTCTCAAATAAAAAAAAATTCTCCCATGCTGTGGACAAAATATTGCTTAGCATGTAATAGCTGCTGCATTTGCCTGCACAGACACCATGCTATTGGCAATCAACTCATTACTGGGTAAGATGCTTTGAGATGCTCAGAGTCTGAAAGAGTTTCCTTAAATCCAAACTCCAGTCTCATAAAAAAATCTATTGCCATTGTATATTTAATTCCTGTTCGTCTTCCATTAAACAGATTTCTATTTTTATTTCAAATAACCCCCTCTCTGCAAAAAGAAACTAAAAAAGACTTGCAGCTCACGTTCAGACTTTATTTCCAAAAATTAAATAAATGGGATTAAATAAACCCAGCAAACAAAGGGGTAAACATTCTCCAGGTTAAAAGACAGCAAAGTCACTGGGAGATGAGAGTCAAATGCTGATGCTAAAACCTCTTCACAGTGAAGAATATTGGCGAAACTGCACCATGAGCTTGGAGAAGCTGCACCATAAACCAGTTATCTCAGCATTGCTAGGTCATCTCAAGGACCAATTTCTTTTGGACCTCTGGGATCTGCTGCCTCTCTAACCCAGTCCCCATTTTTGTATCTCCTTCCTCATTACCCCCTGGGCTCTGCACTCCATGGGTCAGGTGATTCAGGAAGAAAGCAAGTCACTGGTGTAACAAGGTCTTACTAAGGACAAATTCAGACTGTATGTAAATAGGCACAGTTCCCCCTTGGCTAAACTCAGCAGTGGTAATGTAAGAGGCACAACAGCTGAAGGTGGCACGGGGTGTAAGCATGCGCCAATCTGATTTCGGTGATTGTAGAACACAAGCCTGGCTTATGCAGTGAGGGGAGAAAGAGGGCATGTAACAAAAAGGAGGCGTGGAGGAGATAAAACTTGTGGGGGGAGAGAGGAAGACTGCTTGATATCACCCCCACCTGCTGGCTCCTTTTTCTCTTTCCTGCTTCCCACACCATTCCTATCACTTGACACAAAACATTACATGCATTTGCGCCCCCACCAAATACCAGAGAGATTGGTGCTAGTTACCCTTCCTGACTGTTCATGCCCACTTACTCTGGGGTCAGATTCTGATCTCAGCTATGCCAACACCACTCCACTGGCTTTGGTGGGCTGGCAATGCAATGGTGGCCACTTAGATGAGAATCTGGCTCGTGACATGTGACATACATTCCCACATTCATCATCACCGAGTTTGGCTCTGTAGGTCAGCCGCACAGGTAGTACCCCATTCTCAGCGACAGCTGTTTATTGACATTGACTCACCTGTAATATACTGTACACAATGTTTCGGAGGCTCGCACCTGGCCGGTCATCTGCTTTGAAATGCTGACCACAAGCTGACTATGTATGGACGTTACTCAAGAGATGGTGCAAACCTCTCTTGTAAACAAAAAAATGTTTATTTTCCTCACAAGAAGCACATGTAATGTACAGTACACTTTTACCAACAAAAGTAAAAAAAAGTGCATTATGCATCCCCTACTGCAAATGTACAGTACAAAAGATACTGCATATTTAAATATAAAAACCAGAATTAAGAAATACAATGAAATAAAAAGAACACTGTTATCATAAGAGTACAGCAATGCACTGAAACAGCTACTGGTTATTCATGTCCGCAGGTTATCTAACAAGGGTGGTAACTATCCACGAGCCTTGGGTCAACTCTGAGGCGAGGAGAGCAGCCCAATGTCTGCGACATGAAAAGGAATATTATTTAGTTAAAGAACACATTGAGAAATGGTGACCGAAACGGTGCTATTTCTAAAACATGGAACAAAAAAAGCATACGCTGGAAATAAGGTGCCAGTTTGTGCATTTCAGATTTGATGTTGGAGTGTTCCTTGGCTTAGATCATGCCTGTAACTCTTCCAAGCGTAACGATGGCCTTCCATCTTTGGAATGTCTTGTCAAGCCCTCCCTTGCCTGCACTGTCTGCAGCAATGCAGAGATAAATCATAAGCGGTGGGGTCAGGACAACAGAAGCTGGAATCTATGTGGGATCCATTTACAAAGCCCATCGTTTTACCCATACACGCAGCAAAGGAAAACTGGTTAGCAGTTCTGAGATCAGGGACCATGAGGGTTATACAGGACTCATACATGCAAATAGTAATGGTCTTACTTACACTGAAACATCAAAGCACCAAGACAAAACAGCAAAACAGCAGCGTTTACCAGCTCAGCATAAATACACAGTATTTGTAAACTATTATTAAGGCACTCAATTGTAAAAGAACAATTACAATACATAGGAGAGAAAGAAAACAACTATCTTTTCATGCATCGAAACTAACAACCCTGCAAGCACTGCATCTTTTGGCTACAAAAACTTTGAATTGGCATGCTAGAGCCTCTACGCATACATTGACTTAAAAAAATTTAAAAATAAACTACATGTATCGACAGTATTGTGTTGCACTAAGCAGCAATGGATCTTCAAGTTTGATAAGCTACATTGTGTGTGTGGTGACACAGTTATGTTCCACAGAATAACGGAGTCTGTGTGATTTTTTCCCCCAATCACGATATGGGCATTGTAGTCAACTGAAAACTAAACTACCAAAGCAGTAGTTTGTATGTAGCAGAGTTTGGCAGGTCATAGAAGAAGAAAACAGGAAGGAAATACGTTTGTTCACTTGTATTGTTAAAACAACTTGGAAATTTTCGGAAGTTCTTCAAGTCTAAGCACCTGTTAAGCTTCTATCTTAGTACAAGGTACAATGGGTTGGCCAACAAATGTCAAATTGGGCGTACATGGCAATGACTTTGTGAACAAAGGCAATGTGTATTAATATACTGCAGTGTCTTACTGCCTGGGGTTGGTTCCCTACTGGCAGTTAGTGCTATGAGGAGTGCACGTCCCCACACCAAGCAAATAGATGGAATCACAGCTCATTGGCAGTGGGGATGGGAACAACAGGTGGTAAGGCATCTTCAAAAGGCAGCAGCCCACTCACAGGTGCAAAACCACCCGCAGAAACAAAATTAAATGGCCACATCTGTGGGTTTCACTCCTTCCATTCTTGGAAACAGGCAATTACATGGGATTTTCAGAAGCACTCATCATTGGCCTGCCTCTACGCCCATTGAAATCAACAGTTAAGACTCCCATTGACTTCAGTGGGAGCAGTTAGACCAGAGATCAGCACTTTTAACAATCTTCATCTAACCTAGCCCATGTGTTGTATGCACACATGTGTGATCTGCACACACAACTGGGAGAATTACAAATATTACCATTCTCTCTTCTTTTTGCATGCAAAATTTGGACCTAAGTGACCATCTCTCCACAGAAGCACAAGATCTTACTTAATAACACTATACAGTCCCCTAGCCATGAGAGGTTAACTATCTGCTTTATCCTACAGTAACACTATTAGGGATCCTTTAGGGTTGTCTGGATAAAGAGGGCTAGCAAAAATCCATGGGAAAATAGAAATTAAATAAAATAACTAGGTCAAATTCTGCCTTGCAGCTCCAGCTTCAATGGAATAGTACGGATGTAAAAAAGGGCAGCCTTTGTCCAACGGTGTCAGATGGGAAAGGGCCTCTCCCTGTCAGTGTGAACAGGTGCACAGATTTGCAGACAGGGAGAATCTGAACAACTGTGCAACTGGCTATGACCACTGTGACTTTATACTAGCTGTTGTGCTGCACTCAAGCCTTGAGCACAATGTTGTGGTTTGGATGGAGCTGGTGAACAGATTAACAGCTTTCAAAAATATCTTCGCTGATAATTTCAGCATGGGCTAATAGGCTCTGAAGAAACCCTATCCGGCCATGCAGGAATCAAACACGCAGTGCAATGGCTTTACCCATGCTCACTACCACCCCTCCTCCCCAATCCATCTTTTACAAATAAAACCTAAGTAAGAACAACTAAAAGACAAGTAATAAAAATATTTGGAATACGCTACAGTAGATATGGACCTGGAAACGCACCCATGATGCTTTGACATTAGGCACATCATAACAACATTAATATTTTAGATATACCACCACACCCCAGATACAGCTAAACTGAAATGTCACAACTGGGGAGGGAAGGGGGGCATGTGTCAGTGAATTCACAGTGTATTGAAGTGATCTAGTCAGTATTGATTTCCAAGACGCACCAAAGGGTGGGTTCAGTGAAAAGAACCACACCAAGAACCAATGACAATCACAGCATCAAAAGAAGTGTCCATGCTAAATCCACTTCTGAAGGTTTATAGCCAGACAATAACACAAACATTGCAGCTAAGGGAAGGTCCAACTCTAGCAATGACATCGGTTTCCCAACACTAGAAAACGTGGATTACAAAATGTTTCACGTCCTCCGAGATATTGCCATTGTCTGCCTTGCTTGAGAAGCTTTTGCTTCTTTCACACATGAAATGGCAAATTTGCCATATGCTCAAGATGTATATACATTTTTGACCCCTCTATCTAAGGAAGAATATTTATCTACTGCTTCCCAGCCCATATTTCTCCTGCTTTTAGTACAAAATTGGGGGAGTTACTTTAAAAAAAAAAAAGGAATCCCGGGTATTCTAAACGGTGGAAACCAAGGGACATTCCCAAATGGGTAGGCAAACATTTTAAATGGCAGGTTGTAGGATTTGCTGTTCAAAGTTGCACTCTTCACTTTCCATCCCCATCTGAAAGGCTTTATCCAACAACGGCTCTGCAAACGTAGATGTTTAAAAACAGGTCAGACTCACATGGACCTGGTTGTTAAAACCACGGAGCGCAACAAATCCATCATTTGTCGTCACTAAGCTTTAAATTTCACTGTGACACCAAAGTTAGTCTAACACATGGAATTCAGGCATTTTTGAAAATTTAGGAGCCTAAGTTCCATTTTCAAAAGTGCTTAAGTCACTTAAGTCTAAATCCAACTGATACGCAATGGAACTCAGACTCCTCAGTGACTGAGGCACTTTTGAAAATTATATCCTTCATTTGGCAAAAAGGTATCTCCCAGAGTTTTGGAGGTTTTTTTAAACGTGCTTCTTCTAGCAGGCTGGCAATGCATTCTACCACAATATGTTACACACCCCAGAGGCGAAGGGCCTCCTTTGACACATGTTGCACCTGGCAGGGGCGGGAGGGCAATGGTACTACAATATTTATCTGAAATTGTTCTGTACTAAACGGTCACTGGGTGTGAAGACAGTGACCCACAAATGAATATGGGGCTGGTTACCCATGATGCTGTGAATGCCATGTCACTGCCCCTTTGTTGAGGGACAGCATTTTAGGGCTAAACTGGGTTATCTGTGTGTCCAACCGGCCTGTCTCGGGAAGTGGCTCAAGCAGATTTCTTATCATCTCATTCACTCATTTTGATCAACCCCATTTTTACTTGAATTCTGTTTTATCATCAAGGGCTGAATCCTGAGGTCTGTGCCCAAGATTTTCCGCAACAGACTCCCACTTGCCTGAATGAGAACTAGTGGAAATGGAGTGTTTCTGAACTGGCCATAAACCTCCGACAGAAACTAGTACAAAACAGCTGATGAAAAAAAGAACGGACTACAGCCAAGGGCTCTGCTCTAGGAGGTAATCCTGCACAACTGAAGCCACTGACTTCAGAGGCTATAGGACTGAGCCCTAAATACCTTATTGTATCAGAAATCTAGCTAGCAGTACCATGTAGAAGACTTAATGGTTGTTTAACACTGTGAAAACTAATCTAGCTCTCCACTTTTCCTTCCTTTCTGTGATAGTGCAATATTCCATTTAGGCTAGGCTAGTAAAACTACTGCCTCCTCCTTGCACTGGCCTCAAACTCTGCCCTTGGATGGGTGTGTAAGATCAGTGAAGCCCAGAGGAGCACCACATGTTCATCCGAGAGCAGAATGTGCACTTCTATTGTCATCAGGAGGAGACCATCACTGAAATTAACCTGTGCATCCCAGACAATATGTACTATAAACAAACAAGAGCAGGAATACTCATCCTCCCCCACTGCTTCTGGATGATGAAATAATAAACCCTTTGGATGTTACTCAATGTGGGGACTTGTAAACAGCTTCAGAGCTCAGGGACAACCAGATACCTTCCTGAGATAACCTGCTGCTGCTTTGCATTTCTGCTGCAAACTCCAGGATGCGAGAAATGTTCTACCAAAAATAAACTAACTTATCATCTTCCCAGGTTTCAAATGTACAGAATGACAATAAAGCCAACCGTCTGCCCTCTGTAGCAGGAGACAGGTCAGTCATCTTCTCATCTGCAATGCATGCCATCAACAGTCTGATAAAGCAGGGCTTCCAAAACACAAGTGCTACACCACTGACTCCAGCATCACACACATTTCACAATGGTTCATGGTCACCTACTGGCCAGGCTTGTCATTATTACTGGGATAACTATAAAACCACAACAAGAGCAACAATACCTGAAGAACAAGACATTTCTCCACTTTTACAGAAGCCTTCAAAACACACAGCCTAGACGTCATTTTGTTATTAACACAAGACACTATGACAGCTAACCCTGATTATACAGGAAAGAGGAACTATCAGGTCAGCAGATCACGCAGTCAATAAAAAAACAGCTCTACACTTTTTCACTTGACTTCATAGTTAGAGTTACTCAGTACAGTAAAGCCTACACCTCAACACTCTTTCGGGTCTTTACAGTTGATGTTGTAGGAATGCTTTCCAAAAACTTTAAATATCCTGGAATAAGCCTTACAAAAAATCAACACCGAAATCATCAAGAACAGAGGTAGAGTTTATGTTGCCATCTACAGGTTTTTCCACAAGTGGATGTTTAAACTAGAGACTTGTGCTATGTTCGTTTTGCGAAATAAAAAAATTAAAAAATGCCATGACTTTTGTTGAGACTTTTGAAACAATATTTTCAGCATTTTTTTACATTATATGTATTGTAACATTACTATACTTGGCAAACAGTACTGGGAATATTGTCCTATAGGAACAGTAGGCAGTTCACACACTAAGTACTCTTCCAAGCCATGCAATGTTTTTTTTCATTGTGCCATTCACCCATGTCAGTTATGTCCCTCTTTCTCCCCACTTACTGCACAAGGAAGGGGTAAAGACGTTGTATCAGATGAACTATTGGGTTCAGGCAATAAATGCTGATTAAAAAAAAAAAACATACACCAGAACGTGTCAGCTTTTGCCCTTCCAAAGTGTGCTCTTCAAGTTTCCTGTGGCTGAATTTGCTAGCAGTTTGGAGCTTACGTCCACGCTCCTCAGAGGGGATTGTGACTCGCAAAGCATGGAAGACTCACTCGATTTGGCCTCTTTTGAGTTCATTAGCGTTGACACATCCATGTCACTCGATAAGTCCTCGGAGGACAAGTTAAGACACCCTAGCTTGGCAAGAGAATTGGATCTCTTCAGAGGGGAAGAAACAGTCAAACCAGCAAGTCGTAGCCTGGTTTCGATTTCCTGAGTTCGTTGTTTCACCAGGCCAGGTTTCCCATGCACACTGTGTATGCTGTCGCTACTAGAACTGCGCGTTAAGTTGGAACTCCTGGAAGATGACGGTGTATAACATATGGTCTTCAGAAAGTCCTTTGTGTAACTGCTCATGTGTTCCAGCCTGCACAGGACAGGCGTGGAGGTTTTCTGAGACAGTCCCTGTAAGGGGTTTTTGGCCTCTAACTTCTCCACATCATTCTCTGTGTCTTCAGATATTAAAGGTGCTGGGCCCAGAAGAGATACTGGGTCTTGGTGCAAAGCCAAATCTTGGTTTTCCTCTGGTATACTAGCATCAATTCTGCTCACGGAGCTCTCTCTTACCAGTGACGAGGATTCTGACGGCACACTCTTCAGACGCTCCAGTTCTTTGGTATGCTTCCTAACTAAGCCAGCTTTTTGAAGCTGAATAAGAGATTCTTGATGCTGCATCAAATAACTGTTTGTGGTTGGCTTTTCCAAATCTTTACTAAACAGCAAGTACTTCAGGTCCTTCGTGGGTTTGACATCTTTTCTGGATGGAGGCTCTTCCTTCATCACTTCTGTATTCAGAGGGCTTTTCTCACAGTGGGAAGTTCTCCTGACAAGCAGTGCTTTGACAGGTGTTTTTGGTGCATCTTTTGGCTTTTCAGAAATATTGCAATGCTGATCCGCCACAGATTTGCAGGTGCCACCTTCCAAAACACTAGTTCCCTGCAGCAATGGAGGCAAAACATCATTTTTAGCCCTGATTATTTCCTCAGCCTGCAACTTGCTAGGCATTTGGTCCGACAAGTTCGAAGTCACATGGGAGAGGAGCGAAGGCTGAGTACAGATTGTAGAACTGCAGCAAGCGGCAGCTGGATTCAGCGTCTCACACTGCTCCCTAGAGGCTTCAGCGGAGGCACTGGCTGAGGAATACATGCAGTCAGTGCATGACTGGTAGGAAGGCTTGACTTTACTGAGGATTCCAAATATGGCATCGCGCTATAAAAGGAAAGAATAGGCAATAAGAAGTCAGACAAACAATTCAATGTGGATGCAGAATAGCAGAGTCAGGCTAGTTTAAAACAAGACACAGAACAATAGGAAACATTTTATCTATAAGGACTCCAAGGCTTAAAGGAAGCCTCTCTCCATTACTGCTGAAGTCTGGGCTCTGCAGTGGGAGTCAAGCCATGAGGATTCCCAGCTGACAGTGTCTGGAGTTGGAGGAAACCAACCATTTCAAGTGATGGTCATGGAAGGCGGCTCCCCTGAGAGGTTTATAGCATGTTCATGTAGCTGCATGCTCTCTTTGGTGGCTGGCTCCACAACTTCTGCAAGCAAAGCGATGGTCAGAAGCACTTCTACAAGGAAAAGGCTCAGCATGGAGACAGGCACTACTACAGGAGCCTTCACTTCCAAACCAAATTACATCATAATCTTAGGATGCGGAGAGTTGTCTCATGCACACGGTGTCGGGTGTTACTAATCATCTACGTTTAAGCCCATACGCACCTCGAACTCCTCTGGGCAGCTCCTCTTGCTGTTGTTGTTATTCAAGTTCTCTCTGTTCAGTAAGTTCTCCTCCTTGTGTACGGACAAGCGCCGCTTCCACCTCTCCACAGGATTTTCCTCCCTGATGCTTTCCTTTCCCGGATCCACCTGACTGTGCACACTCCTCCCCTTTGGCATGCTGGACTCCAACTTCTTCACTTCCTTCTCGCAGAAACTTCTCAGCTCTGCCAGTGGTTCTACTTTCTCCTTGGCCTTCATTGTGTCTGCCGCAGCCTCAGGAGGGATTGGGGGAGGCTGATCCACCAGCAAATTGGCCTGCTCCGAAAGCACGTCTCGCTCTAGATCCTCCACCTGGAAAAATATTTCCCTGTCACCAGGCAGCTTGTTCTCCAGCAGCGAGTCGGACAGGCGCCGGAAGCAGTAGTGAAACCCCCCGGCCTCCATATTGGCTCTGTTGTCCAAGTACGTGGACTGTGAAGGCGCATCCAGGTCAGATAGGCGGTTTTCTAGATCAATGTCTAAGCTATCGAGCAGGAAGTCACTGGGCCCCGTAGAATCATCTGCATTCTGGGATAGGTTGCTCTCTGCTTGCTGCTTCCACAGCTTGTTATGACGCTGTTTGCTGGGGAGAAAAATAAAAGGCACAACTTACTACAATAAAACACTCAGCAGCTGTCGAATGTAAATACATCACAGTGCCCCGCCCCATACAAGTCACGCCCCTCAGAAACCTTTGGAGGAAACATGCAATCCAAGCAGATCACCCACTACAGAGGACAGTGGCAATGCAGGGCAGAGGAGCAGGATGTATGAAGCAATCAGGCTCTGGTCTAAACACAGTGAACAAATGGCTGGGTCATTACGTAAGATTCAAGGGAAGAAAAACAACAGCAACCAAAGTCCTCAAGAATCAGGTAACTGTGACTTAAAAGGCATTGACCACCTCTGTAGTTAGCTGTGATGGCTGCTGTGGAAATGAAGGCGATACGCACCTAATGAAGAAACAGAAACAAAGTCTCCCAGCTGAAAGCATCTGGATCAAGCGCACGCAAAACATGTATCAGAGTCACGCGAGTATAACTTTAAAAAGATGCTCAGCAACAACCAACGAAGGGCTGAAGCCGGCTGTCCTCACTCAGGCAGACTTCTCCAACTTCAGGACTTTGTCCTCTGCACGTCTATGCAGCGTCAGGAACTCAGCCGGCTCCAGGCATGGGAGTCCAGCCACGCAATGAGCCCGCTGGGCCCAATACCCCTTACTCAGGGATTGTGCTCCCTGAGTGGACAGAAGAGCCCACAGATCCCCATTTAAACCTTGTAGCAACAGCAGCACAGTGGCAGCTCGACGCGTTCTGGCCCAGTAGCTGTGCCAGGCCTGCTTCCTGTACCTGCTCTAGCTCCGACCCGTGCCTGAAACATTGACCAAAAACTGCTTTCTCTTCCCAGTTTTCACAGAATCGTGTTCCCCCTTTCCAAGCAACTCTCTGATCATTTTTAACTTATTTTTCCTTTGCCCAGCTTAGGCCCCACATGTGTATACACACAACTGCAAATTGCTAATTCTAATCTGCAACAGGCTCTTTTTGTTTCCTTGCAAGTCACCTTCTCATTCCACCCATCACCTTACCTTGCATCTAAAATCCCTTCATATTCCAGCAGCTGTTTCATGAAGCCTGCATTTGGTCTTGCAATGCTGCGTTTTTGCTTCACGTAATTATAGGCTTTTTCCAAGGACCAGCCAAATTCCTTCATTGCATAAGCTATAACCGTAGAGGCAGACCGGCTAACACCCATTTTGCAGTGTACCAGACACTTAGAGTGATTTTTCCTAGAGCGGAAGGCAAAAAATAAGAAAAACTGTATCTCAAATCCTTTTGTTTATTAAGTTTTACTATCACAGTTTTATATGGTGCATGGATGGTCATTTGTTCTCCAGACCGAGCCAACGTCACAGCTCAGAGGGAGTTAACTGGTTTGGGTTAAAGGGTCCAAGAAAATAAACTCTCTAGGAAAGTTAGGATTTGGAGAAGTGTGATACCCCCTAACCACTCTCCTCTCACCCCAACCGCACTGCTATTTCAGATACTACCCAAAGCTCTCTTTGTCTGCATGTCCCTGTCTTTGGAGATGTGGACCCAGCAGGCATGATGGGTTCCCTACCAGGCCCCCCTGCACTGTTCACTGCACATGAGGGCTTCTCTATCACCTGTGCCCTGGAGGGGGGAGTGACTGGATGAAAATCACAGAGCAAGAAGTCTCACAAATAAAGAGGCTTCCTCGGAGAGGTTGGTGCAATCTGAAGAGCAAGTAACAGGGTTGGAGGCCCAGCAAGAAGGCCCTTATGCCAGGCCCCCATCTTCAAAGGTGGAGGCAAGGCAACTGAATGAAGGATCACACATGGGAATAAGCGTCTCCTGCGACGTATTTAAGAACCTCAACGCCCATTACGTCACCTGGCAGAATTGTGCCACAATCTGTCAGGGATGGGACCTCCACAACTTCAGATGCAGCCCCTTACTTTTTGAGCCCATTATTAATTCTAGCATTGTGGCTGATGGACAAAGTCAAATTCAACCGCTAGTTACACCCCTGCAATCCTAATGATTTGGGTCCTAATTTAGGGTGGGATTTGGCTGACTAACGAAAGAGGCCAAATTAACCAGGTGTCACTGTCCAGCTGCCCCATGCAGATCCAAATGAAGAAAAGCCCATCGGGTTCCAAGCCACATGCTGACACCCCAGCAGAATGTGAGTGGTTCATGTCACTAACTGTTGCCGGGAGCCACTGCTCTGCTTATTCCAAAATTCAAGGATTTCAAAATGTTTTACTTCATCAGAAGGACCCTTCGGGGCTCTTGCCATCTTTTAGGGTGTTAGGTGCAAACACGAACAGAATGTAGCATCGCTACTGGAAACCAACAAACATTTCGTTTAACAAAAAGGGAAACAAAAAAGCAAGTTGAACAAGGCGCTGAAAATAAAATCTCAGCACAATTGTGAGTGGTTGTGAAGGGGTTAATGATTAACCACTGACGGGAACAGACGGGGTATTTGGGCATTCCAGGGGCCCAACTGAACTCCCTTTTCAAAGGCCTTGGCGAGAGCAGGGGTCCCAGAAACCTCTTCATCGCCTCACAAAGAGCTCAGCAATTAAGCAGCAAAGGGACAGCTACTTAATTAGCCTGGTAGAGCT